CGGGCCTTGCGATACTCCGGCACTCTCATAAAATCTTGAGGTCTGGAAGAAGTCGTTGGCGTCGTGATAGAGCGAAGCTGATAGGACAGAAATGTCCTTGAGGGATGCAGGCAGCTCAACCTCATCGAGTTCACCGGCTTTGTCGGCTTTAAGTAGGGTCATGTTTCCGTCGTCTCTGATGAGGATCAGATACGGTTCAGCAAAAGTTGTCTTGACTGCTCTGGCTGTCTGGCCTTCTTCTTCATCCACAACAGGGAATATTTGGGAGAGACCGAAGTGGGCATCATATACACGTACTTCGGTTGGGAGGACCTGGACTGTGTGATCCGTCGTATCCAGTCTGAAGACAGATATAGTAGAGCCGGCCGACTCGTCGAAATCCGAGTCTGCCATTGGAACCAGGTTGTCATCAACCAGTGAAAATAAGGAAGACCTCCCGGCGCCGTCGGGGGTCACTTGCGAGACCAGAACGAGGTTGTCGAATCGAGATTCCATATGCTTCTCGGTTTCATTCTGACTCTTTCCACTCGAACTGATACACCAGACTCCAATTGCATCCTCGTACTTTATTCGTCGTGTTACCTTTGGCTCCAGCTGTCGACAAATAAAGGCAATCCCACCGGCATTGCCTCGACCATACGCACAGACAAGCTCGCGCTCCCTCAGATCAGCCTGGTCTAGTTCATCGGCATCATCGCGTTTTCGCTTGCCTAGATTCCCCAAGGCGATGTCATTGATTGACGCTAAACATGCAAGACGATCGACTGGCCGAAAGTTGTGGCCGCTCAGATCACTTGACAAATGGCCATTATGTCCGTCGATGATTTCGGCATAGAGATCGTCTTCATCGTCTTCACCGTCTTCTTCATCATGTTCCTCTTGAGGGTCGGTTTCATTGGCTTGTATCTGTGCCCGGGAGCGGATTCTCTTCAATTGGGGGACCTTCTTGTCTGTTGACAGTAAAATTGAGTCGGCTTCTTCGCTCCCAATGAAGAGACGATTTGTTCCGAGATTTGCTGTGCAAGACGCTGCACCCATAAACAAACTCTGTGTTTGTACCTCTCCAAGTCTGCGAAGGGTCATTCCCGAGACCGAACGGCCGTCCATTCGAAACGTCAAGTGAGCGAGCTCTCCAGACTTCAAAATGACCAGCATGTCACCATTTGCGTTTCCCAGGTGCTCGACCTGGCAGCCTTCCAGTTTCAGGCGCGCCTCGGAATGATCAGCCATGGGAAAAGCAGACGCCTCTCTGGCAAACTCATTCACAGCCATGGCGCTAGACTTGCCTCCTTGGTCTATATGGATCAATTCGTTGCCGCCGATCAATAAAGCGCCGCCAACAGGTAATGGAAGAGCAATGATCCGATAGAGGTCATTGGGAAGCTTCTGAACCGACTGCAAAGTAGTTGACGCTTTTTGGTCGAGGTCCAGGGCATAGACTGCATAGATCGTGACATCTCGTCGTTCCGGACTCATATTTGAGGAGCGGGCAGCGGTAGAGTACAGTATACCGATGGTAGGGTCGCGATACTCGTAGAGGAAAGCAATGTCGACGGGATGTAATAAGCCAGGATCAAGAACAGTCAGAGGCAGAACAAATGATGGACTATAAGGCGTTTGAGGCCCATGAGCGTGCCCGTCAGTTTGCTCTGGATGTAGAGACTTCTCCTTATCTTCTCCGTCCAGGTCATCCAAGTCGTCGATTGCCAGATCGTCCCCGGCTTGATGGAAAGGGATAATGGCAAGATTACTGACACCAAAGTTGAAGGCGGCACATCTACTCGATGGGTCAATCGTCAGACGACTGACACAATCAGCGAGATCAGGTTCCCACGGAGCAGACTGTAGATCATGATGCTCGTAGAAATGTATTGACAGAGTAGATATGCTATGCAATTCGGGATCCCATTCGACAAGGCTCAACTTAGCATCGCGAAGCGCAATGAGGACGACATCCCCTCCACTTTTCGAGTCGGCAATCTTGACTCTGCCTAATGCGGTGACTGTCCCCGCCAAGCTGTACTCAGCAATCAAGACCAGTCTTGCCTCCTGACCGGCACTGACTGGCTTGCATTGGAAAACTTGGAGCAGGGACGTCCGCGCAATGATCAGATTATCGGCATTGGGTGAAGTGAACGAGAGTGAGAGGGCGTGAGTGACGCCAGAAGGAGGGATGAGCTCGGAGTAGCACTGCATTCTGTGTTGCGGTTGGAGAAAGGTAGGTGGTGGACGGCGGTCGATTGACTGCCAGGAGCGCTATCCCCTTCCCGACATTATCATGAGGTTTATTAAGTGCTGGATTTATAGCCGCATCACCTAAAATCGGTAGGCTAGAAGAGGAATGTAGAGACTGACATATTGTCTTGGAGCGGATGGAGGGGACGAAAGAGCCAAGTCACAACTGGGGGTTGATATTTTGGAGTATCACGTGAACAGAGTCCAGCAGCATACTAGCAAGAACTAGTCCGGATCTAGAAAGACAAACACAAAGTGGGCAGCTATGACGACGGACTCCATCTTCCTCGCTTCTCGCTTCCATCAGGCGACGCTCGAGTTGCGCTGCGCTGCGCTGCGCTGCGACAACTTCTCCCACTCTGAGGTCACAATTGCGCACTTCTCTTACCTTCTCCCCTTCTCATCCTTTCCACTCTGTCCCCATTCGCATTCATCCAGCTGGCCTGAGATGCAGATGCTGTACCATTGTGTGCAGCCATAGCCTCGCTGAAGCTCTCAGAACGCCATCATGCAGCTCCTTCCATTGACAATGACTGAGCTCGCTGACCCGGGTTTCTCGACCATGGCAGCGGCCGGTTACATACAAATCACCTTGATTTGGGTCGTCTACGCCATCGCCGTGGTCATTCTTCTCTCTATCGCATGTCTCTTCGTCTACCTCTACCAGACACATCGAGACCGATCTATGTTTGTCACCACTGTCTGCATATTCACGATCACATGTCTCCTAGCAACCGTCCTTTTGCTCCCAGTCGACGTCGCGCTGGTCTCTAGCACCACAAGCTCAAAGTTGGGTAGACGGAAGGATTGGGCAAATCAAGAAAAAGTCGACAACATCACTCTTACCCTCCGGATCGTCTACTACCTTCTCTACTCGCTCGATGCGCTTCTCTGCCTCCTTGTCATTCCCTTCACCTATTTCTGGTACGAAGAATACGATGAAGTCGCTCAAGAGGAGGGCACCCAAACAATCGGCGCCAGATTCTGGGCTGCCTTCAAATACACTCTAGCCTTCGTCTTCCTCTGCGTCGCACTCTTCCTCGTCGGCTTCTTCGTCCCCGTCGCCCGCCATAGGGAAGGAGCTCACTTCGACCTCGACTTCTTCAAGAAACTGCTAGCCGAAAACCATGGAGAGCGCGCCTTGACCTTCGCGCTCGGCCTCTTAATCACGATTGGCATCCTCATTTACTGCTTCTATACTGCGGCGGGCCTTGCACTTCTGCCCCTCACCCTGATCAAGTCAGCGCCGAGTATCTCGGCGCCAGCGTTGAGCGAATCCACCGCGTCCCAATTAGAAAGCAATCTCGAAAGGCAGAGACAGCTGGAAGGCCGCGCCCAGGGCAATCCCGATGGATTGTCCTCTAAAGACCGAAGAGAACTGGATGCTCTTGTCCGTGAAGAACGTACTCTTCGCCGTCACCAACGGCTTGCTGAAGAAGCCTCGGGAAAAGACCAGAACATTTTCTGGAAAATTTGGATCAAGCTGGGCGCGGTTCTTCGACCTATCAAGCTCATACTTGGAATCCTGCTGGTGATCATTGTGCTGTTGATTTTCGCCAGCATGCTCATTACCGGCATTGACAAGGCTAAGAACTCGATCTGCAAACAACACTGCGGCTACCTGCTTGCTCACATCAACATCTTCCAGCCGGTCAACTGGATCCTCGTCATATCGGCCAAGGTGTTCCCCATTGACTATGTCATCTTCTTGCTGATCGTGATGCTTTTCTTCAGCGCGAGCATCCTCGGCATCGCCACCATTGGGATCCGCGTCCTGTGGATTACAATTTTCAGGATCCGTAAAGCCCACACGTCGCCCCAAGCACTACTGGTGGCCACTGTCATGCTCACTCTCATGACGCTGGCTATCAACTACTCAATCGCGATGATGGTGGCTCCACAATACGCCACCTTTGGTCCTCAAACATTCTGCGACCACCCATTGAAACACCCCGGGGAACAACCTGACTGTACTGATCATCCACAGCATATTGTGCCGTGCACCGAGTCGACCGACAATCCAGCGGCAATGAATGTCTGCACCCCCTCTGTGGTCTCGACGTTCCTCAACCGAGTCACAGTCAATTTCCCCTTCTTTGGCGTTGTTGACTTCTGGGCCCAGTTCGTCTTCTTGGGAGTGTTCTTGCTCGGCTTCATCATTCTGCTGTTCCGCACCCCCAAGTTATCAGACACAGATGCCGAGGAAGACGAGCTCGAGGAGGAAGAGGAAGGCCTGTTGGCAAGCACTGGCAGAAGATTCGATGCGACATGGCAAGACATCACGGGCAGGGTCAGCCATTCGGGCAGGAGGAATCAGCAAGGAAGAGGGACGAGAGAAGGTCCCAGTCATTGATTCGGCAAGTCATGTATTGAAGGCAATAAGTTCTATTCATTGGTATGGGATCGGAAGCACACGATGTTGCTGGCATCGGGCTATACGTAGCGTAAGCTGCTGTTGATACGGCGATTGGACGACTGGACTCAGGTTTAACGCGGTCAATGACGGGTGCGCATAATGTTGGTGCGCCCATCCCAATTGTATCTTCTACTATTCCAAATTACTCTTTTGCAACTGCGCGAGTAACGATGTGGAAAGACTCTCTCGCCCTTTTCATCGGGCTAGAAATAACAGTGAAGTGCAGACTTGTCACGTCGGTCCATCCCCGGCCATTTTCCATTTTGAAACCACGCTGAAACAGCGCCCTTTTGACCAAGTGATAGATCATGATTTCCATCCAGATACCGAATAGTCACGTCGTAACGTCATGCAGAATCTCGATCTGACAGCTTCGAAATGGGCGAGTCCCGATGTGCGTCGCGAACGAGAATCGCAGGTGCCGACCTGGACACGAAGAGCGCCCTCGCCACAGACACACAACAACGGCTCCTTCAATTCGTTGCAGCAGCCGCAACACCAAAATCAACCATTGTCGCCGAAACCGCTCAGCTCTGCGCAACGAAGATACTTGTCCCGCCAGGCTGAACTGCAGCGATTCCGCAGGCTGTTTCGGCGGCTGGCCTGGAAAGCAAATAGTTTGACGCACTGGTCTCATCGTGCGCTGAATCTAGCTCAAGAACACCAGAACCAACGGCATCACAATAGCAATGGCCCCTCTAATGAGCTGCTCGACCAACAATGGGCCGCCGGTCCACGGGCTACACTCGGACCGTACGACTTGATCATTGACCCGGTCGACGCGGAACGACAATTCAAGATCGACTTTTACGAGTTCTATGCCTTACTCGAGCGCGGACTCGTCTGCCTCCTGGGTGTTTGGGGGATTGTAATTACAGCCTCCGCCGCAGCCGCGGGTCCAATGGCGGAGGGCGACGACACGGGCACTGCGTCTTCTTCCTCGAAAACACAAGGCAATGGCGGTGGGATAGTATCAGGATCAGGATCAGGATCGTCACAGCCCCCCGCCATCATCGGCGACTCGCTGTACTTCCAAGGCGCCGCGCACCGCTTCCACGCCAACGTCCTCGCCGCCCTCGACCACCCTTCAAACCCTCTGCACTCGATCCTCGGCACAGGGCCCGTGAGAGAGTACATCGGCGTAGCCAAGGAGTTCCGCAACAAATGGAAAGATGTCGAGTCGCGGCCTGAGGATTCCTTCCGCGGTCCGGAGAGGGTAGAAGAGGAGTGGGATCCGGCCAAGACGAGGCGCTACGAGAAAGTGCTCCACGATCTCAAGTTGGAGGAGTTGCTGGGGAGTGTGCTCCGGGCGCTGGAAGAGGCTGGTCGGAAGGCGGAAGCAGAGATCGAGAGACTCGGAGGTTCGCTGTTGGGAGGGGGAGCGGCCAGCAAGAGTAATATTGTCGGTGGTCCTCCCGATGTGGTGGATTTTGATATGCAAGATGCCCCGTTTGAAGTCATGGACAGACAAGGAGGCGAGTTGGATTATGAGATGGAGTTCTGACCAGGTACCTCTTCTTCGGCCTTTTTTTTTATTTTGCAGAGTTCAGAGTTACTCCATGTTTCGCAAGTTTCTCTCAGCCCGAAACCAGAACGATCGTCTAGATCCCTGACTGCCCAGGGCGCAAGCCTCGTATTCTTCATCCTCCAAGAATTCTAGAGAGACAGCCTACCCAAACTCCTCACTCATCCTTGTCCTCTCGTTATCACTCCTGCCGCCACCTATCCTCGATCTGCATTCTTTCTTAAGAAAACCTCGAGTCGTGGATCATGGACTTTGATTTCGCTACGTACCTGAACCAGCTCGATGCGACATATATATATCGAGTGGAGAAGCTCGCCGGGGGAGTCGTGAATGTGACTGTGCGGGCCAGCAAATCCCGCATCGCTACAACAGCAACTATTACTGCCTCGCCCTCACCGACGATGTGTGAATCGAGAAATGACAATGCCGGACTGGACTGCGACTGTGGCTGTGACTGTGGACAGGGGAGATTCCCCGGCGAGAAGTCGTTGATATTGAAGCATGCTCCGCCGTTTATTGCGGGAGTCGGCGAGAGTGCTCCCATGTCACAGAGTCGCCAGGTATGTCATTCACATCGTCTCTACTGCCATTGATTGCTGCCATGGCCCAAGGGGGTTCACAATGTGTCGCAGGAAGTCGAGGCAGCCTCTTTAGCGTTGTTCTCGCCTGACCCTCTCCCTGAAGGGGACCGATCAAGGAGCCTGTCGTCACCGTCGACTCAGGGAGTCCTTCACCATGTATCAACAGAGTCAGGAGTTATGGTGCCCAGATTGCTTCATCACGATCCCGCCAACCATGTCCTCGTTCTCTCTGACCTTGGACCACTTCCAGACCTCTCCAAAGTCTTCATCGAGCTGGGTGGATTCACGCCGGACTCGGCTGGCGCAGCATCATGGCAACCGCCTCCATCTTCGCCGCGCCTGGGTTTTCCGCTTGAAGCTCACGAAATCTCAACTTATCGGAGGATAGGGGAGAAATTGGGAATGTTCTTTACGCGGTTGCACGACACTAGCAGTATTCGATCTATCCTTGGAGCAGCAGGCCATGAACAAGGCGAGGTGTTACTGCGCAATCGATCGGGTCAGCAATCTCTTCGAGCTGATACATCAGTATTCCCATCGGTGCCGGAAATGAAGACCGTCATTCACGAGCACGTCATAAAGCCCATCCGGTCTCACCTCCTTAAATTTCCCTCGCTGCTGGATGAAGCAGAGGCAGAGATCCTCTTCGCAGCGGTGGAAGCCGATTTTCTCCGCCCAACCCCTCCGGAAGAACAGGGCGTCGTCCTGGGCGACTGCTGGACCGGCGCAGTGTTGGTGGACCTGAGGCCCGCGACCGGTGAAGATGTGGACGTGGGAATGGGAGTGATCGACTGGGAATTTTCGAGTCTTCACGGTCGCGGCGTCAACGGGGACGTCAGCCAATTCCTCGCTCACCTCGAGTTGTTACGGGTTGCTGCCCATGCTCACCCCAACGGGCAGGCCATTGGTCACCTGTCAGCCATCAATGCCATCATAGAGGGCTTCGTACGCAAGTACAAGCTCGGTCAAACGAAGAGTTCTGAGGATGACTGCGGTCTCCTGCGGTCCGCATACCTATCGCACGGCGCGGAGATCATAAATTGCGCCTTCTGGAAGACATGGACATGCCACGATCCTGAGTGTCCATCATGCACAATGACTTCTCAACCTTCGTCTTGTTCTTCCTCCGCCTCCGGTCAATCTGGGTCAACGCAATGCAGCGTCATCACGAAACTGGTCAGCCGGGGAATCTCATTCTTGAGGTGCGCCGTCGCCACAGAACCACCTCGGCTGGGGACTGCCGCGTTGAGGCAAAATATCGCGGCCAACAACCTAGAAATGGCATATGACAATACGCAGACGAAGGGGTTGTATGACCTGTTCGAATAGTTGAGTTGAACTCAGCTGGTCGCATTGGCAGGAAGCGCGCAACGGGCTGGCTCTCTCCATGCCCTCACACTTTCCCTGGTCGCAAGCGGGCGCAAGGGGTAATTAGGGGGCCGCTACGGTTGACGAATTGCTCGGAACATGCATTTTGTTGGGGTTGGGAGTTCGAAGGATCTTCGGTCTCACTTTAGAAGACGACATATGGAGCTATGATGATCTCCACCGAGGATGTATTTTCTACACTAGAAGCGAGAGAGAGAAGGGGAGGGAAAAGCCAGATGGCACAGAAGGAGAAGGGATGAGAAAGGGGAAGGAGAAGGCAGGAGAAATGTGCGATAATCTTCTTGATTTTTTTGCTTCAGCACAACGGTGAGGAATTTGCTTGCGCACCAAACCGTGTAGTTTTTTAATTATTCCATTTCTTCAGCTGTAATATTCTGGTCGCGCCATAACCCCATAAACCCCGTGCACGGTTGGTAAAATACAAGTAACTTAATCGTGAGTCGAAGAATGTCTGTCTGGAATCCAGTTATTTTTCCAGGTGTCATATAACGCGCATTTGGCATAGTTAGTAGGCGCTCGCACGCCGATGCTCTCGTCCACTTCGGCGCCATTGAGGGTCTGGTGACTGCAGTGCAGGACGTGGTCGTAAGAGAGCAGTTCCTGGCTGATTGGTGCATTGTTGCGCAGCGCACGCACGGTTTTGTCCCAGGAGAAGATGCAGTGGGCTTTGTGGTAGCTAGAGGACATCCATGCGTCACCGTGTTCGCCCTTGCGCATCTCCTCGTCCGATATGATGACCTTGCCGTCGCCGTCGGCGTACCACGTCCAGTTCCCCTGGGCGAGGTATCGCTCTGTCAGGATGCTGTCGTAGCATGGTTCGGGCACCCAGTCCTGCATCATCACGTCGTAGACACAGCCCTTGGCGCGCGCTTCCTCGGGGCTGTATCCACAGTCGAGAATCTTGCCGTCCAGACTGTCAGGATCTTCGACTTTCTCTTCCACCGCAGAATCGACGGATGTACTAGTAGTAGGAAGTGGCAGGTCTGCGGGTAAGGCGCTGGATGATGCAGTAACAACACTGGCGACTGCCGCATTGCCGCTGGATTTGGCCGACAAGGGACCAAGCACCACTGCGAGCGTGGCACCGACACCGGCGCTAAATGCGAGGATGAGACCGAGCAGAATTTTCCACCATGCTATGTTGACTGATGTTATTTTATCCTGAGGAACCCTGGGCACCAGAGGCTCGTCCTGACGCTCGTCCTTGATATCATCGTCGTCGTCTTGAACAAGGTCGTAGCGGTGACCGGGGGCCATGGCCTTTTGTTGATGAAAGTTGGCTTCAAGGTAAATCAGGACGGAAACGAGAGCTTGGATCCAAGTTGAGAGGAATCAAGGGCCCGAGTCTCGCAAATCTAGTGACGTATCACCAGTCGAAAACGTGGGAACCTGGTTTTGGGCATGAAATCCAAAAACGTGTAGAGTAATAGTGAGCAATCACAACGACTTCAATGGCAAACCCCGCGGCCAGAGTTGTATCCTGTACTCGGTACTGATTGAGCCCCCTATTAATATGTATGATGATTGAATGGCGGACTTGGGCTAGGAGAGAGATGAATGCGGTCTCGGTTGAGGTGAATGTCGCTACAAATAATAAAGCTAAGGCCCTGCTAGGCATTGCTTCGGCTTACTTGGGCCAAGAGTTGTAGACGGTGGCAACCAGGAGGTGACTGGTGGTGATGGTGGTGAGTATCCCGTCAGCTGACGCCATATACAACCCTTCGTATTGGATCGCATACAAACCCCTCGAAACCTCCCTCGCGAGCTAGTTTTACCACTATTGTCGTCGAAATTCTTGGCTCGAAATCGGCATTGGCAGGCAGATCATCGACTCCTGTTTCCTTCCGGGCCTCGACGGCCAGCCGAGATTGCCACTTCGCTAACATGAGAACCTATTGCAGCCACATCACGTGTCAAATCTTGCCAACTTCTCCAGTGCTGCGAAACTAGGCGATAGCGCAAAGAGTTGGTCTCGATGAGTCGGTAGGTACCTCGAACCTAGGTAGGTATGCAGAGGCCACACGCATAGTATACCTGGTATTCTCCAGTCATTGGGACGGTGATGTAGCCGCATTGGAGATGGACTTGTAGTGACAATTGGGGTGATTTTCGCGATGGAGGCGCCACTGCTGGCGTTGGCGAGAGACACGTTACTTAGCATTGTACCAGTAGTTGTACTTGTACAAGTATGAGCTCCGTACAAGTCCGTCAAAATCTTCCAATGGATGTCGACTCGAGCGCTCTTCGATTCTGAGACATGGCCCACGGTTTAATGTGGATAGGGTGGCGCAACCAGGCTAATAATATACGGAGGGGCCATTGAGATTTTGTGAGGCTTTCGCCCAAAATCTACTCGGTACTCATATGCCAAGACGAAACGGGCCCTCGGACTCGGAAGGCGATATTAAAAGCGGCATGTTGGCGATGTGGCCTCGGTGGCTTGCGAAGTTGTTACTGTGGAGTGGCGTTTAGTACTGAATTTGCTTGTGCAGCTTCGATTCGCACGAGCTGTACAATCTACCGAGTACCTAGGTCATATTTCTGAAAATAAGAGGTTTTGTATAGAATGGTATACTGTGTGTTCTGGCAACGAGAAAGGATTGCCTAGGGTCCGGCTGGTTTGTATAACAATAGATGAGGTGCGGGAAAAGGTAGAAGATAGAGTACGGGGCAGACTCATTTAAATCATTGCGTGCGAGACGCAACATGGTACATGACGTATAGTCCATGGACAGATGTTTACATCCACAGACACAGTTTCCCGCTCGATGTGCCCCCGGCAATCCAGTCCTTTGAAGGGTGGAAGACGGCGACAGCGGGGACGGCCGTGATGCCTTCGCCCCCGAGCTGGGCAAGCTGGTCGCCATTGGCTGCGTAGACGTCGACGAACCTGGGCGCGATGTTAGCAAGGAAAGAGAGGAGGTAATTTAAGCAAAGGTACAGGAAGGAAAAGAGGAAAAACAAAAGAACAGGAAGGATGATTCCCGGTCTTTCGGAAGAGAAATAAATAAAGTTGCTGAGGAATGCGACAAAAGCGAAAGAGAGAGGACAAAATCTTACCGATTCATGTTCCCCACGACCAGCTTCTGGATGTTGTCTTCGGGATAAATTTGCCAGCGCGGTTTGAGGATCGTGGTCCATCGGCCCCTGGAATGGCACGCATTAAGTCAAGACTGACCGGCATTCAAACAAGAGAAGCTTCAAAAGAAAATAGGGGGCCCGAAACTCACGTCTGGTTATTATGTCTCACCACGACCTCTGGCTTCATGGCCTCTTCGTCCAGCTTAAAGCCCGCCGCCCAAGAATTCATGCTCTCCAGCGTCTGCGTCCCCTTTTTGGCGTGCTTACCAACGCCAAACGAGTGGATTTTAATCGTGTCGTCGTAGCTCGTTGTTGCCACTTGTCCCGCTGTATTAAACGCTGCGTGACTCACGCTCAGTCTCGATTCATGTTCGCCTACCAGCGTGGGCAACTTCTTCGTTACTTTGCGGAGATCCCAAAGCCGCATGTATCTGTCGAGGGACGCCGTGGACACGTAGTGCGGGAGCAGAGGGTGTAAGCTGAATCCACCAATCTTCTTCTCCGAGAGTTGGAACAATTCGCATGCTGAAGGCGGTTGGCGCGTGTCGTGCCGTCCGAAAGCGCCGTTCAATGTTGTGAAATACAATGTGTGCGGGTCGGTGGCGGACATATCTACGCCTGAGATGGGTTCATCGTCTTCTCGATCAGAAGGGCCGTACACTTCCACGGCGACAGATTTGGAGAGGTCGGTCGCTCGGATTGAGGAGTCGTAGGATGATGTGAATAGTGTCTGGGGTTTCGATGGATGACTGTGCATCGCGCTTATGGTGCGGGTATGGGGTTTTATATGGGTGATGTGAGGGTCTGGATGTGCCTCTTCTTCATCCTCGTCGCCTGCTTCCTCCTTTTTGAGGTTCGTGTCTGGTCGCTGTGAAGCATCTATGATCCCAAGTGACCCGAATTTGTCGCCCGCAAAGACAATGGGGTTTGAAGTTGTCGGGTGAAAGGCCATACTGTATATCCTCTCCGGCGTGAGCTTGATACGATTCGGTTCCCATTGATCCCACAGCTCTAAGGAGCTCATCTTTTCCCTTAGGGCCTTCAGGTCCTTGTCTGTGGTCTCGCAAATGTCTTGCTCGTCAAAGGTGCGCTCGTACGGTCTGGCAACGCCCTTGAGTATCACGTCCGTTCCGATCAGACTTGTTCCATCAGCTGCGAAGTTGAGGTCGCCAGTGACACGCTGTCTCTTCTGTCTCTCTACTTCCTTTTGCTTTTCATATTCATCCTCCGCTTTCTGCCTGGCGACTTCGCTATCTGCTTGCAGACCCGCTAGTCGCGAGGATGTTCGACGAGGGACAACTTCTACGGGCTCCTTTTTCACACGCTTCGCAGGTGGCCCCTTAGGCTTCGAGGCTCGCTTCTGGCCATGTTGCGTGCCAGCGGAAGGCGCATTAGAATAGAGGCCCGCTTGCTGCGCTTCTTGGGTCAACTTTTTGAGGAGGGCGTCTCGCTCGGCGATATTAGCAAGTCGTTGTTTTTCAAAGTCGGATTGTGCGGCAGGTTGTTGTTCTCCCCAGGCCATTGTGGGAGGTATGTGCAAAAAGAAAGGGCTACAATATGAAGAATAATGGGTTTGAGTTTCCAGTTCGTCGCATAGTCGTGACGCGACAGATGTTCGTGAGGAATCCCAAAATGTGGAGTGAGGAGAACGTGGTGCGCGGTTCGCGGGTGAAGCGCGTAAAGTGGCTGTTAGTCAGCGACTGCACATAAGGAGGCGCCCACGAGGGTCAATTGAAAACTGCTCGGGTTCTATGAGCATCACACGATATTCCTTTATACAAATTCGGTGGTGTCATGATACTAGGATAGAGAGATCATCTTGGACCACATAACATCTTCCACCTCATCCCAGAACTCCTCCCGAATGTCCAGCAATGTCTGGGCTTGAGGAATCACGGTTTGAATCTTCTCACCGATCGACTCGTACGACAAGATTCCCTGCCTCCAGCAAAGCTGGGCGACTTGATCTGTAAACCATATGCGGTTCTTTACGTCGCTTTGTGATCCACGCCAACCGAGATAAAGCGACCACAAGAGAACAGCGAGCTCGCTTTCGCCCAGAAAATCATCAACCAGGAGCTGATCCTCATTTCGGGCCGGCTCCGTGTGTTTTTGAGGTCTTTGCGGAGGTGTCATCATTGTTGATAGATAAGCTCTCAGACGTCCGCTTAGCCTGACATAGAGAATGGGAGCGGCAAGATCTCGAAGAGTCAGATATGAGAATATCAGCGTAGCGATGCCAACCACATTTGGCTTCAGCTTATGCTGAGGATGTGTCCCACGTTGATTATGAACAGCGACATTCGCTGATTTCTGCCGAAGATCCAGTATGGAATATTCGAGCTTCCAAAGTAGATTGCTAAAGGTCCGACACAAGTGCTGTTGGCGATCCTGGAGTAAGACAGTCTTCAGAGAGGATAAAGTGCGGAGCTGTCGAAGCAAATCGCCAACGCTTTGAGTGAGGTCTTGTAGGACAATTCCCGGTGATAAATTTTGCTCTTCGCTGTCAATGTTCGGAATCAGGTCCTTGGTTGATGCTTCCTCCACCGCGGTTGGCATCTGGACCCGAAGTCTTGTGCCATGCATCGCGGATTGCAGCAAGTCTGCCCATCCGACCACTCTCTGGATGTGTCTGTTCGAGTTTAAAGTCTCCATGCCACCACGCATGGCAATCAAATGGCCTAGTCCTTGTGAATGTGTGGTTTGAGCCTCTGATGGCCAGTCAAAGTGATTGTCGGAACTAGAAAGAAGTGCAACTGCCCCAATGGTCTCATCGCTCAGAGATTTTTGCAGATTGCTTAGTCTTTGCGAAACAATCTGCATGGCTTCGCCTCGGTGCTTGAAGTAAACCTTATTCAGATCAATCGAGAAACAGTCTCTTCTATGGATTGCTACTAAACTCAGTGTTGCGTGGATAATTGCTGGATCCATTAGTGCCACTGAAATCCATCTCGCCTCGGGATTGCAGGCAAATGAGTTGGCCCAGAAAGAAGTCTGATAGTACTGAAGAAGACTTTGGGTTTGCGGTTCCGCAAGATCAACGTTCAGCGTACCGAAAGGGTCCAGCGCGTCCAGATCGTGGAGCCGTGAAACCACTGAGCGTTCATCATTCGAACTAGGAAATGCGGGGATAAGTAACCGTTGACTTCTGGGCTTCGCGGAGCTGTGATCATGAGTTGCTACCATTCTCCGTTTCCTGGGCTTCATTGCTGAAGAAGGTCTGGTGGATCGAAATCGTGATATGTGGGGAGTGATGCGATCGCCAACGTTTGCAGGAGTAAACTTCGATGTGGGATCGCTCTTCTGTCTCAGATAATCTCGCATCACAAAGGCACGCACCGAGCTGCGCTCCTTCTTGTCCGTAGTCGGATGAGACTTCTGGCCACTAACAGTAACAAAGCGAAGCTCACGGATGGCGGAATGGGTCATTTGCGCCATGGCGAGGAAAGAAGAATAGGTCAGCTGCAAGAACAAGCACTGGCAGAAATCGAACCACCTCAAAAGCAACTTGTCACGTCAATAGACCATGGCTCAGGGCAAGCGCAATGATAGAGTAATAGCGTTGCCCAGAGTGCAAAAAGGACAGTATTTGCATTGTGGACAATCGAGCGGGGTGAAAGCGGTTCGTTTTGCTGCTCAAGTTCAAGTCTTCCAAAAGTCTTGAGGGTGAAATGGCTCGAGGTGGTAACGGCCGCAAATGGAGGATAGATGGCCGTAACCATCCATTCTGAGATTGGGCGATGCGGTTTTTTTTTGGTGTAAAATGCCCTGTGGCTTACCTGATGCAGAGAAGCGGGCGATTACTCAAACTACTGCATAATGCCTCAAATCAAATGCCATGCCATCCTTGACTGACACTTGGCATCAAGCCTTCTTGTCGAACTACTACCGTATCCGGCTCTCTCATTAGTCAGTTGTTAGGTGATGAAAGGGGCTGGATCGCACCCAACGACCGTATCCTCGCTACCATCATTCGTAATTGCTGTGACCTATCACGAGCGTGTTTTGGCGGACTCAAATTGGCTAGTCCCAGGTGTTCCCACCCCAAGCTGTCTCCGCCTTGACTTGCATCCTGCGGACATAGACCACGACCAGCTGTGATGGGTCCGTTTTGGTCACCGAAAGGCTTCTTTGAATGCTTGTTTCAATGTCGGCTTCTTCACTTCAAGAACCCGCGGTTGGGATTTGATTTGGAGACCAACTCGGTCCTCGCGGGTAATTTTTCTGGCTCCGGATCCGGCCGACATATGGCAGCTGTGTGGTAAGGGTCGTGCAATGATCATACTTCCTTCTGACTTTCGAGGTTGCTGACATGGGCCAGAAGGAACTTGCAACAAGTCAAGGCATATTTACAAGCTTTGGTGAAGTTTTCATCCTGGTGGAAACCGACCCCCAGCTTGATCGAAACGTCCCCTATTTTGTCACCCTGTATCGCATACGGTAACACCCTTTTGGGTGGTGGGTTCCGTAGTGTTGCATTCCTCATAGATGGTTTCGAATTGAGATCGACGCTTGAAGTCCTCTCGACGTATTTTCCAAGCTGCGCTAAGCAGTCGAGAAACGCTACCATTCCACCGTCAAACCGCCGATGGTTCAACAGGCGTCCGATGGCCATATCGCCGCTGCTGAACAGTTCCAGAGGGGTGACCTTGGGCTCAGGGTTTGCAGCAGCAGAGTGCAGACCTCCGTCGCGGCCCGTTGTCTGCTGTCTCTGCACGTCAGGAGGTTGTTGGAGATACTCAAGCTTTTCTATCCGGGATGTGCTGCCTTGAGGTCGCAGACGGTAGCCCTGGAACGTGAACTTCAGTCTTTCTGCGACAGTAGCTAGAAGCAACAAGGTTTGACCCCATGCAGCGTTGATCTCAGACCAGTCAACATTTTGATTGGGCAGACGACCCAAACGGAGGCCGTTTATCGTGCCAAAGTAGCCGTCATGGCCGATACAAAAGGTGTCGTTGTAAACATTGGTGCGTTGAAGACGCTCAAGCTGGCGAAAATCGTGGATTTGTTTCTCTCTTAGGAATGATAAGTGCGTAGTTGTGTGGTATAGACTGTCATCGATTGAGTTTCGGGAATTCCAGTAGGCTTGTTGCTCCAATTCCTCATGTTGCAACTCATCCTCTAAAGCCGCTATCTCGTCATTGGCTTTGCTAATTTCGGCTTCGGTGGATTGGAGTTGTTCGTAGATGGTCCCAGCAGCCTTTTTTGCGTCCGAGGGCCTCCAAACTTCAGAGGAGATATTTTGGGTGGATTTGAGAAAGCCAGCGTAGGCGTCTCTTTCCCTATTGGCGCTGCCTAGGCGTGTGGCATATTGAGACAGCATCATGGAAGTGCATTCTTGACACATGGGATGATCGATATCTGAATGGGACGAGAGGATAGCAAAGAGGTCTTCGACCTGGCTCTTCCTGGCGGACATCCGGGTGTCTTTCACAGGAACAACATCAGAACCATTTGTTTTCACATTTTGGCTTTGGCTTTTTCGGTTGTTATGCCCCTTGTCGGTTAGAGCGACTTGTGACTGTGTGATTTCAATGAAAGACATATCGGGGTTGCCATTTGGTGGGTCATGGAGACGGGAAAGAGGTGTCTCATCTTTTGGCGCTACAATAGATCTCTTGTAGACCGGGGAGTTCGCTTGGATGGAGACGCGATTATAGAGATCTTTCCTTTCCTGCGGATAGTTCATGCGTGAAATGGTAGAGGTCAAACTGCTCAACTGAGACTTGCCCGTAGATGCTGAGTGACAGTCAGTATTATCAAGACGAGAAGCGGGAGCTGACAGACCAACGAGCAGGTCAAAGGAAGCCGGATTGATATTCTCCAAAGATCTATCAAAGCGAATGGGCTGTCGACATTTCTGGCAATACATCTCTGCTGTTACTGTTACGGCGACGATGTGGAAATCGGGGGTAGCAGTGAAACCGAGAATAAGTAAGTTGAACCGCCAGATGACGTTGCAGCCACTTTGGTCGAAAACACGCGACGCGCCTGCGGAATTTCAGATCCATTTCACTCTTAGCGACTCATTACCCCTCCTAGCCGTCTCCCAACACCACCATCGTCATCTTTAATGCCTGCTCTGTCCTCACTGTCGAACACATACCCTCATGATGGACGAACCATTCCGTAAAAGACCGCGTCTCTCCATGTTCGCCAGCCGATCCTCCGACTCCGGTCTTGATGATGAGCTGAACAACAGACGACTAACAAATGACCTCTTACTGAAATCGCGTTTCGAATCGATCTTCGAAAAGTACTCTCACGACTTTTCTGGTGTCGGTGACGAAATAGATATGGAGACTATGTCAATAGTTGTCAATAACGGCCATGTGCAGTCAATGGAAAATGAGACAGATCCAGGAGGCGCGCACAATACCAAAGGAAAATCATTGTTGAGAGCAATGACCGAGGTTCAAGAGGGTGAAGACGATTACTTGAACGAACGCGCTGACGGTGTCATTATGAGCATCGAGGAAATCGCCGAGAATGCTGCAATGGCAGATGACGACCAAGGAATGGAAACAGTGGACAGCGACGAAGAGCTATTTGTTCCTTTCCATGCTCGCGCGGCTTACATTACACCTTCTGATTCTCAACAAAGTCAAAATACTGTCCAATCCAGCTTGGTCGACTCCGACAATGACTCGCTATTCGGAGGGCAAAATAGGCCAGACAGATCAACAAGTCCTGATTCTTTGTTCGAAGTTCAATTTCAAGAATCGCCTAAACCTGAGACCACAGATAAGCTACTTCAATTTGAAGATCTTAACGACGAGGTGGATGGGAATGCTATCCTTGAGAAATTTGGACCTAAGCTTGGGCCGGAGGTGTTGAAAATTATGCAAAAAGCCAGAAATGTCGCTGTTCAAGCCCATATCGAGCCAGCCTGGCGAATCCCAACAGATCTCGTCCCTTCTGAACCGCCCAGATCTCTTTCGCTGTCCAAGACGCCGTCAGTCCCTCTTTCTGCCTCAGAAGTCCAACGGACTGCCTCCCCGACATCTTCCAAGTCTCTTTGGAAGTCCAGGAGTAACTGGTCAACCAAGAGAACCGTGCGTCAAGCTCTTGAGAGGCGATACGGTCGGGCCGAGTCAGTGGATCCGCTTCAAGAAGACTTTTCCGATTACCAGGATGAAAAAGAACACAGCCCTGACAGCGAGGCAGTGTCGGAAGGGCAAGACGAGGAGCAAAGAATGTCCAAAAGGAAAAACGAGGACGACGAGCAAATCTTACGGATGAGGAAAGGATCTTGTTTTTATTGCTCTCGCAAGTGGGCCGGGAGGGCAGGTGTCTTCAAGCACTGGGCTAAATTGGCCAAAGATTATGACGCGGGCAAAATAGAGGACGACGACGTACATGATCTGGAGTACATCCACTTGTATGTGGCATACAGTGTTAGGACGGCCCGTCCACCGAGACTCACCCTTTCCGATTTCAAAACCTTGGTTGAACTACATGACGGCGCAGGTTTGTCCTTCAATGAGATTGCCGAGTGCCGAGCCCTTCGAACGCACAAGACTGGAATTGCTCTCAACGATGTTTATGACAGATATCGAACACGACCAGGTCATCTCGACAACGATTCAAGGAAATGGTCGCAGAAGGAACTAGACGCCCTGGAGGAGCTCTGTCAGAACCCAAAACGAGATATTGGAGCACTTCGGTCGCATTTTAAACATCGCAACCATAGCGAGATCGGAGATAAATTGGCCGAAATCTGGTTGGCAGCTCTCCGGAGTTCGGTTCAAACATCACCTACCGCACCAAGAAAGCAGACAAATACTAAGCCACAACCATCTGGTGAGTGCCAGACGGAATATAGGCAGCAGGAAGAGTTGCCGCCAGGCCCTCCGTTTGTTAAAGTGGAGCCCAATTCCGATGAAGAGTTGTTTGGTCGAAGATAGAGGAGTTGATACCGGAACGCTTCAATCCAACTTTCTGCCTTCAAGGATATCCTCGATGGTTGTGCGCGCTTCCCCTCCTATCTCACCTATCCGTGCCCAGAACTTGGAGAGATGGCGCATACCAGAGTCGCACAGAATCGTGACGACCGTATGACCGGGACCTAGTTTGAGTGCCGTTTGCAAAGCAGCAACACCTATGTGTCGGAGATCAGTCCACTGAGCGAGAAACATGGCGCAGAATGGCGAAGAACTCACAATTAACCGCGCTACTACTCCCCACAAAGATACCATCCCTCTCAACCAACAGCCTCGCCATATTCATCGCCTGCTGATCATTCACTTTGACAGCATCGTCAATCAACTCTCTCCCCTGCTCGAAATTCAGCGTTGAGCGAGTCAAACCTATTCCCTCCACAATCGTATCAACTTGATCTCTTCTTCTTGTCCCCTCCTTCTCCAACGAGTGGAACATGACGCCGTGTTTGATTTTATTATACAAACCTGAACCCTGAGGGTCTGCAAGCACAACTTGAACATCCGGCAGCTTTTCCTTCAGATAGGTAGCTACGCCCGAAATCGTTCCTCCCGTTCCCGCGCCTGCGGTAAATGCATCAATATTGCCCTGGCATTGAGCATATATCTCTGGACCTGTGCCTTCGTAATGAGCTCGCCAATTTGCTTCTGTTTCAAACTGGTTGGCAAAGTATCCTCTCCCCCTCTTCTCCGGGTTTTCCGTATGTTCTCGCGCGAGATTGCGGGCGCGGTTCACGAAATGCTGCTGGTCCACTATTGGCGCGGGCGGGACTCTTTCCACCACCGCACCGAGCTTTAACAAGAGGTTGGATTTCTCATGAGATTGGTCGTTGGGCATGCAAATGTGCGCGAGATACCCCTTTGCTCGGCACAGAGTTGCCAGAGATATCCCTGTTGATCCAACCGTTCCCTCGTAGACGGTGTCTCCACTATGAGGCGTGAGGAGACCCTGACTTTCTGCTCGCGTGAGGATTGACAATGCAACCCGGTCCTTGGGTGAGCCACCAGCACCATTGAGGTGTTCGCATTTGGCGAGAATGGTGCATCCCGTAAAGCTTGAAAGCGAGGGAATGATAATGAGAGGCGTGGAGCCTATCGTCGATTCTATGCCGGCGCCGATGGGTGGGGGGGATATTTGGTTCACTCCTTTTGAACATATGGCCTCATCGGGCTTGTGTTGGGAGTAAGGAGGCTGCTGAAACTTGTAGGGTGAGGTGTAGCTGCGGTAGAACTGACGGAGCTGATCAATGACGACAGCAATGGCAAGGCCAGAAGCGATGCCGATTACCAAATGACGGCCTGTCCATTGCATAGTAGACCTCTGATTCTTGCAGCCTTTGAAAGAGGACGTATTCCTTGGGTTGAGATCGCTAGGCTTTGGATCGCAGACGGACAATTTCAGTGATTCTGCTGCAGAATGCTGTAAAGTATGGCAAGAAACCGGCAACCTCCTCCCAGTTTCTAATCATGAAGCAAGCGTTACATCTCGTGGCATAAATGCAGAATCTTAGGACTGATCAAGGCGGTTTGGGCGACATATCGGCTCCCAGATTTTATCGAAAGCTCCGAGCTCAGTGATCCGCCGTCCTTGCACTAATCCCGAAACGGATCTTTAGAACTACTCCACATTTGATTTCATTTCCATTGAGCGGGTTCTGGCTGTAACGCCGTTCCTCCCAGTTTCAGTCAGCGGCGTTCGGGGATCTCGGTACTTGTTCAGCTGTCCCAGCGCTCTGTGCCTTATTATTATCAATTTTTTTTTCTATTGTTTTCAAACTTCTGATGGACTCACCGGCCATCGCACGCATCTTTCAACAGCTGTTCACGAGACCATCGCGGAATTGTCTTCGACTGCAACGCGCTCGCAGACAACCGTCTCTTCAATCTTCAACCGGGCCAATTCAACAACGTCGAACATATGCCCTTCGTCGCAAGCAAGATGATGCGGGAGGAGGCAGCACGTGGCAGCAGAGGATCGATGCCTTCCCCAAGGACATGTCACGACAGCTCAAGGAATACCCCATGATCACTGCACACGATCTGCGGCACAGGACCCAGCGGCCACGGAGGGTCAAAATGCTGACGAGGGAGTTTATCGATGGTGAGGAAAAGCGGGACATTTTGGAAGTCTTCTACTAACAGAATGCAGACAGCCTGTACAATCCCAACTACGGCTACTTTACGAAGCATGCGACGATCTTCAATGCAGGAAAACCCTTTGATTTTGCCTCTATCAAGGACGGGGCCGAGTTCAATCGCCTGGTGGACTTGAGCTACGTCGAATTTGAAGATGCTCTGGACGAGATCGAGCCGGATGAGACTCGACAACTTTGGCATACCCCTACCGAACTGTTCCGGCCGTATTATGGCGAAGCTATTGCGAGGTATCTGGTCACAAACTACAAAATGACCCTTTTCCCATACCACGATTTGATCATATACGAGATGGGGGCAGGAAACGGAACTTTGATGCGAAATATACTCGATTACATCTGCGAGTACGAGCCGGAAGTCTACAGTCGGACGCAGTTCAAGATCATTGAGATATCCTCCGCGTTGGCCGAGTTACAGTTGACCAGTCTGCGACGGTCACCCTATGCCGCAGATCACCTGGATCACGTACAAATTCTCCATCGATCAATATTCGACTGGAAGGAATACATCCACTCACCCTGCTTTTTCCTCGCCCTCGAGGTCATCGACAACTTCGCCCACGACTGCCTGCGGTATGATCCTGAGACAGAACAGCCGTTACAAGGCAGCGTCCTGATCGACGAAGACGGAGAATTCTTCGAGTTCTACGACCGCAATCTCGACCCTCTGGCACTGCGGTACCTCCGCGTGAGAGAGATCGCCGCCCGCTCTCCCTTTGTGACTCCAATCTCCCAATATCCCAGACTCCTACGCCAACTCCGGCATTCCCTGCCCTTGTCGCCCAACCTCACCAAGCCAGAATACATCCCGACCCGCCTGCTCGAGTTCTTCGACATCCTCAACCAATACTTCCCTGCTCACCGCCTCGTGCTCTCCGATTTCGACTACCTGCCCGACGCTGTCCCGGGCCTCAACGCCCCCGTCGTCCAAACACGCTACCAGCGACGCAACGTCCAAGTCTCCACGCCCTTCGTGCACCAGGGCTACTTCGACATCTTCTTCCCAACCGACTTCACGATGATGGAGGATGTCTATAGAGCTATCACCGGCAAGTTGACACGGGTGTCGAGCCACAGGCAATTTTTGGAGAGTTGGGCGTTGGTGGAGCAAACGGAGGTTAGAAATGGGGAGAACCCCATGTTGGCATGGTATTCCAATGCTAGCGTCATGACTACTGTATAGCGAAAATGTACACACTGAGCTCCGAGAGAAGTTAGAGGCACTCGAGCATGTCAAGAAGTATCGGGGCGCGCAACACAGCTCATTCGATGACCAAAAGTCTAGAGTATTTCGAGTTGAACGAATACAGTCTCAAGACCAAATTTTCCGATCATACTCGTCCAGCATCATCTCGTCCCGAGTCGTAGGCTCCGGAAGAGCTCAACCTTGGACTCTGAAAGTCCTGCCACTTGCGGTCTTCCTCTCGCGTTCTTCCGTCTCCGGTCTGGCACGATTGAGAACTTAAAAGCGCGTTTGTTAGTTCGAATGCTTTCGATACCAAACCACTTAGGGCTTAGGCTTACCCTGCAAGAAATCTGCCGTCCGACGCCTCATTCTTGAGTGGATGTACGCCTTGGAGGCTTTGATGTGGTAGTGGAAATAGTCCCGGAAGGTCTGGATGTGGGAAATGACCTCGTCTCTTCGCTGACGGGTAAGATGTCGAGGGAATAATACTGACGACGCATTAGCCTCGGGCCTTTGGAGAGGTCTACATCACGGAGAGAGCAGCGGAACAAGCGGCATACCGAACGTAATAAAGCCCATTTCTCCCTTCTCGCCCGTCTTTCCAACTCCCCTCAACCCCTGTAACTCCAATGGCGGATCGCTCCGGAATAGTACCTGCGGCGCATTCTGAATGGCTCTCCGTCTCGCATCTACAAACTCCTGCAAGAACACTTTGGCAAAGATCCTATCCACGGCATCGGTGAACATTGTCGAAAATATGACGGTGACTCGATCATGGCTGGCCTTGATATAAATGGCCTCTTCCTCGCGGTAATGGATCGCCATCACCTCGCCACCTTCCTTGACGCCTTGCGGTGCAGATTCTGAGGTATATTTGCTCGCTTCTTCTGCCAGCTGAGCGAATTCGTCAAACGCCTTCTCGAAGGGCGCAGCCATGACGTTCCTCTTTAGCAGACTGATCCTCCTCACCAACTCCTCTTTCTCTTCCGCCGTCGGCGGCAAGTTTTCTAAGTCGATCAGAATACTGAAATCATACCCTGCCTCCGTGTTCGTGATATAGTTCCCATATTCCCTCTGCAGGACTTGTTCGGCGCCATATTGCAACAACTCGCGGTAGCATTTGATAGAGAGGGAAATGAGAATCTGTGTTTTGCTCGAAGGGGTCGAGATGTGGAATGTGACGCCGTCGAAGTCCGAGACGACCTGGTCAATGGATATCGGAGGGGCGCCAGAGAAGCGTTCAGTCAGAAGGGACTGGATGAGGACATTCTGATAATCGAGGAGGAGCATTGCAAGAGAAAGAGTGAGTTGCTAGCCAGCAACGATCAAACGGAGAAGGCAGATTTGGACTTATGCTCAGGTCGTGTTCAGGACTTCGTCAAGTTAGTGCAGTCAATGAGTTGCGCTCGCGCCCGAAGATGCAGTGGGTGAGAGTGCCATGTACAGTGCGGGGACGCGCCCATGTCAGCGGCGGAATTCCTTGGCACCCAAAGACGAGGCTGCCGCTTTTTAAACTTTGTTCTGTACCCAGTACTCGTCCTCGAACTCATCCGCCTCACTATATAGACATTGCTCTTTATTCACCTTTATAGAGTACATGTTGCAGCTTTTCTAACACATTATGAAGACTGTCGCCCGAGCATGGCGCGTAAACAGTGGGCACATGTCCTAGTGCGGCTCATACAACGGCTATGCGACCATAAGGCTGCGCTTGGGCAGAATACCCCATCAAGCAAATACGGAGAAATCGGGGATTTATCGATAATGCAGAAAAGACCTTCTCAAATGCCAACCCTGAGGACCTCGAGGCATCTATTTCAATGTAATTTGCCTATTCCTTACATCCGTCTGGCTGAAGCACACAGAAGACATGCGGCTAACTCAATCTTATCCCAGCCTCGCCGAAGGGCTCTACGAAAAGTCAACACACTTTTTAGTGGAACTGATACAAAATGCTGATGACTGTTCATACGATGCATTGACACCCAAAAAGCTGATCAGCTACTGGAATGGTCGTCTCCGTCTGGATCACAATGAGACAGGATTCACTCGGCGCGACGTGTAGGCACTCTGTAGAGTTGGCCGGAGTACAAAGTCCAACTCTGGAAATCAAATTGGTGGAAAGGGGATTGGCTTCAAATCTGTGTTCAAAATCGCAGACGTTGTCTCGATATCCTCCGGCTACTGTTCATTCAAGTTCGACAGGACGAAAACAGACCTTGAGATGATCACGCCTGTGTGGGACACGTTTCCTGCACAGTTAATGCCTGGGTTCACCTCGCTAATGTTAAAGCTACGTGACGGCTGTGACCAGACTGAATTCCTCGACGAAATGAGATCAATGGACCCCAGATACTTATTATTCCTGAGGAATTTGAAGGAAATCTCTATTACAGGCTCGCCTCCAGATAACCCCACGTGGTCAAGCATTCTGCGTCGGAGTGAGGTTCAAACTAGTGACGAAGCTCGTCGTACGACAACTTTGAGCTACGATGATAAGTCTGTGACTTACTTGGTCTGTCAGCATATTGCTAATTCCCTGCCGTACGAGCTGAAACGCGGTGGGCGCGAGAAATTCGCTATTTTGTTGGCATATCCGGAAATCGTTACTCAAGAGACCACTCTTGAGCCACAGCAGGTCTATGCATTTCTTCCAATATGCGATTATGGTTTCACTGCAAGTAGAGGGCACCCGTATACTACCTTGCCCAGTTACTAACTAAATGACAGTTTCTCATTCACGCTGACTTTCTGCTCATCGCGAATCGTGAGAACATCGACAGCTCGTCCCAATGGAACACCACACTTCGCGAAGCTATTCTGGATGCATTCTTAGAAGATGTTCGCCATTTCCATGACACGTCGTTTCGATATCCCTGGCCTTGATACTTACCGGGATACACGTATACATTTGGCTTCTTCTGGAAGTTCCGCAGCTCACTCACCGACAAGCTTCGTGAAAGTGCTGCCCTCGATGTGAAGATGGACAGCTGAAGACGCCGAACATGGTTAGATACGTACCGAAACATTTTAGAGACGAGAGCAACCTGCCCATGGTTTTAAGCGTAACAACGAAATCAAAATACTTGTCGCACAAGTACTCGGAGTCTGATAGCAAGCGTCTTATGGACATTGGCGTCACCACGCTGTTTGGAAAAGAGTTTCTTGGGGACCTCAAAACCTCTCTCTCAACCTGCGATGCTGCCATGCCCGAAGCGTGGCACTCCAATATAGCGAGGGTCCTGCTTCCATTAATTTCTAATTTCGAACAAGCAATATCCGAACTCCCCATCATTCTGTTGAGTGACCAACGCCGGGTTGCAGCATCTTCAGGTACAATGTTCTTTCCGGAGAACAGAATGGATCATCCAATTCCACCAGGGATTGAGGTATTTGAGGTTCACCGAGACATCCAAACCGATCGCGATTGTGAACGACTATACACAAACCTCCGAGTCAAGCTGGTTTCCATCCCTGCTGTCCAAGAATTGATTTTGGAGAAGCACTCACACCAGTTCCCAGAGCCAGCGCCGCCCCGTCTGAGTTATCATCCCAGACAATCTATCTCTTCAAGTCAGGGTGGAAGAAACCAACCAACCAGGTTCAGTTTTGGGTCGCCACAAAGACCGGAGCACTACATCGTTCACGGGAGGTGTATGTCAATACGGACGAGCATTACTCGGCATCTCGATAACTGGATAGAAACAGGATGTTTCCCTTCTTGCATAGGAGCTATGACAAAGAAATCGCTTCAGGCGATCTTCCGCGGTGGAGAGCTTGGCTGAACGAACAACTTGGCATGTGGAAGATCCCCCGTCTTGTCAAGGATTCTAGCAACATTATCAACGCAGAGTTGTCAGAAGACTTTCGCCGTGTTCTTGAGAAGCACCATTCCCGGCAGTTCTTAGTGCTTCTGAAGGAGAATTGGGCTAAATGCTCTCAGCATTTCCCCCGAAATCAGCCTATAACTCTGCAATCTCAGTTGGCATCAGTGTTTGTCCTTTGTAGTGATGGCGAACGGCATAAGTTGGAAACTCCATCTACGGGATGCTTCATGCCAGAGAATTTCCGCTCGGAATACTCCTTCCTTCAGCCAGTGCTTGACATTCCAAACCCGCAAGACCCCGGATGGACTTTTCTAAAAGTGTTCGGAGTAATCATCAATGATGATCTTAATACCTATCTCGGCATCCTCAGGAGCATTCAAGGCCGTGAAGTCTCCGTCGAGTCCGTGCGTTGGCTATACGATAAAATTCAGGGTCGATGTGATGACAATCCGACCCTTGTGTGGTATGTTGCCTATCGATCCCACTACAAGAGATGCAAATATTCACCGATAACAGTGACGAGTTCCAGCAGAACAATCACGTTTACATACCGAGTTCCTCTACTGATGAATGTCCACGTTGGGTCACGCTTAGCAACTGCGTGTGGATAGGTCCTGGATGCCTTACACAGTCCCATGAGCTCAGCAAAATCCATGCCGACCACAGAATACTCTTTATGAAACACCTCAAGGTCAAAGATGCCGAACTCGAAACTCTGGCATCGGAAGCCAGGGCAGTCACATCTTTCCCTTCTCTGTCGCATATCACTGACGTATTCAAAGAGCTCAACAGAACTTCGCCCGACTCAGTATCTATGGAAGTTACGAACACAATACAGAGTCTTCTAGCTCTCAGAATCTTTCCGCTTGATGAAGGAGGTGGCTCCGATAGAGGCTTTGACGAGCTCTCCTCCGGCATAAGAGAATCCGAATGGTACATCGTCGATCAAGCTCGCCTTCGGCAGTGCTTTCAAGGTGTAGTATCTTTACCGGCTTTCACAGTGGAAGACGTGCAGGTGATCAAGCGACTGATAAGTATACTGGATTTACAAAATAGAGTGCTGTCTGAGGTTGCCAAAGAAAGCCACAAAATTTAGTGGAGGAAATGCAAGAGGCGAGGAGACTGACATGCTATGCCGTGGAAAGGCCAAGTTTTTCGACCGGTGAGTTCTTTGTTAGGCGTCTTGAGAGAAATTTAGTTATTGTGTTTGATTTCTGTGCAGGAGATTTGACTAACCGTCTGTCCTGAAATAGTCTGATGCCTGACTCCGTACCAAGAAGGCAAGAGATTCTGCACCGTTTGGAGAATGTGGAAGTTTGGCACGCGGACATTATACTCCTAGGATGGAGCGTCAAGACAATCAGTCCTGCATCGGGCATTGCCCATCAAGAAAGTCTGTTCATTGCTACATCAAGTTGCTATCCAATGCCACCCATTTCCTGATTTCCTAAGACAAATACCTGCTCGCTTCACCGCTAGTCACCTGGTCCCAATACCAGAGCTCGTCTCCCTCCTGCTTCGCGTCCTGGAGCTATTCGACACTAAATTTCATATTTGTAGATGCTCCAGACGAAGGCGACAATCGGAACGAGATCTTCTCTGCGCTTGAAGAGCTGGTCGGCTGCCCTAACACCAGTATCAGACTCCAGCTCACCCGCTCCGGCAGAGTCGAGCTTGACATCAGACTCCGATTCGACCGATACAACTTCCATCGAGAGGTACTTTCGCCAACAGTGGATAATGATATTTCAATACACGTAAAAGGTCTGATGGAAGAAGACCCAAGGGGACGGTACAAGAAATTGCGGCAGAGCACCAAAGATCGCATCGTGCACGATATGAAAGCAAAAGCCAGAGGCATGTACGTGAGCCTTCCTGTCTGTTATTGTAGCGTCGGGAAATGCAATATTAATGCTCTGGATAGGTTCGTCTGGGCACAGTGTCAGTTAGAGCAGCTTTCGCGGTGCCGAACCGATCGCGACATCGCAGTCGCCTTGGGCCAACTCCCATCAATTATGGAAGCTACTTAGAATGGGACCTTCAGTAGCATGTATCCTTTCGATCATAAACGGGCTCTCTGGGCATTGACCTGGCTGGCAGCGTTGTATGGGTCCACGACTCTGGGGATGCTTGCCGAATCATTCACCCTAGACCTTTACACTTTTGAAATCGATGAGAGCGATCGATTGGACGATGCAGAAGATATCCTGGACGTTTGCTGGAGCCTAGTCTCAATCTCGGACATTGAAGATAGGCCGATTCACTGGAAAATCATGCTGGCACATTTTACGGTTGTGCAGTATCTGATGTCACCCCAAGCCAGGTCCTTCAGACTCATCCGATGGGATGTGGACCTACGATTAGCAAAAGCCTGCAAGCTCTACGCGACATCTCCCGCATGGCGGAAGATCGAGGAATCAGAACAAGACTCTTAGCTAACGGACCGTGAAGCCGAGGAAATGCACATTCTCGCCTATACCTCCCTGTCGGTCTTTTGTTATCTTCAAGATCCAGGTGTTGAAACGGCCACCCTGCCTTTTTTGATCAGAACTCTGCAGAACTCGCAGGGCTTTACTTATTACGAAAAGAACTGTTCTCTGTTGGAGGCCTGGGAAAGTCTCGAATCACAGGACTTTCCCATAGGGTTCTCCCTTACAGATATCCCACTTCGATCGGATCTGACGAAATACAAGAACCTCGACAGTCTGCTAGCAATTAATCACGGATCAAGCGTTGTCTCGAAAGCTGTCGCATATGGTTTGCTTGACTTCGCCTGGGGCTTGATTGGTGCTGGAATAGACTGTGATACATACGATTCTAACATGCAGACGCCTCTGGAACTTCTAGTGTGGGCTAGCCCTGACAAACATTTCCAGAGGCTTTTGAACCTTGTCCGGTCGAATTTTGAGGACACCGAACCAAACAGTCAACCTGATGCTCAAGGTATTTGGAAAATCAAACACAAATATCTTGGAGACAAGGCTGCTCACAGCAATCAAACAGACGCCCCCGACCGGTTCGACAAAATCCTCGAAGCAATCAAGCACTGTCTGTTAAATGTTGGACAGAATGAGACAATCAGAGCACGATTCCAGAAAATCATGACTTTGGCGTCGATCTTTAACTTCCAGGTCGCTAATGAAGGCGCGTTCCAGACATTGCTGGATGTTGTTCGTCAAGGCCATGGATTTGATCACGGCTCACAGAACTGTTAGTGCAAAGGCTGCTCTATGCTTCATGCAGATCTGGGGAAGGAAGCTACATCATGGCGAATTGTACATACATGCTGGCAGGAGTCTATATTTTCGCTGTGGGTGGCTTGTGGTTCTCGCCACTCTTGCGTACCGGATTCCGGCAGGGCATTGGACTTGCGGCAATACTCTCCGCTCGCATCAACCCTTTTGCGTTTCGTGCTCTCACATTTGCAGCAGCATATTTGGATGGGTCTCGAATTTCATCCATGCAACCATAAGATCCGGTTTCCAATGGATTTTCGAGAACTATCGTAATAGCAATACCATTCAGTAAGCACAAAGTATTGCTTTCCAAGTGGAAGTGGTCAAAATAAGATATATCCGTATCATGATTGCAGCGGTCCGGGCGACGCGAAGATCTATATATGTACGCACGTTCTGTGAAGACGACGATGACTGAAAACGACCCCATCGAAGGAATCGGCTTTGCAACCACCAAGTACAATGTACGTAGCATGAAGGCTCGATGGACGGAACGAGTTGTTAGGGAAGACCAAAGATAAAAGGAGGAAAACGGCGACCAGGCCCTTATTATATACGATATTCGTCTGCAATACGTTCCCTCCCGATATGTATGCTATGGATGTACACAGCAGGATCGTTAGTATCTTTGGACGACGAGTGAGATTAAGAGCAGCCACAGGGAAGAAACGGAAGAAGGAAAAGCAGCGCTCGAAGTTGAATGGAATATTTTATATTTCAGCGTCTAGGTTTACAAAGGGTTCTAATTACTCTAGCCCTCTTTCCAGTGCCAACCCCGTGCGTTGCGTCTTCCCAGGCTACCTTGTATCACTTGTATATCTTGTAATAGAAAAAAAAGGGGCCCAGTGACATCGATATATCTATCCATCTAAGCCACGCCCGAGCCGAACACTTCAGTGTGAATCCGCTCGGGAGGCACGCCGAGGTCCTCAAGGGCCTTCCGGTGGAGGCGCATAAACGGGATAGGTCCGCACAGGTAGTAGCTCGCGCCGGGCAGGAGGACTTTATCCTTGATGTCGTCGAGAAGGATGCGGCCAACAAAGTCGTAGTCGACGCCCTCGCGGTCGCCGTCGCTGGTTTCTTCGTAGTAGATGGCCCGCGACACTTGCGGGTTCTCCGCCATGATGCGGGCCAGGTAGTCCTTCATGGCGTGGACCTTGCCGTTGCGGACGGCGTGGACGAAGACAACGGGCCGCGAGGGGGCGCGCTCGACCAGCGTCCCCAGCATGGACAGCATGGGCGTGAGCCCGACGCCGCCGCTAATTAGCACCACGGGCTCGTTGGAGCCGGCGACGTCGAGGAAGAAATCGCCAAAGGGGTTGCTCACATCCAGCTCGGCACCCTCTGGCAGGTTCTCGTGCAGGATATTCGAGACTCGTCCGGGCGGCGCAGGGCTAATGCCGGCGTCCCTCTTCACAGAGATCCGGAAGTGTTTTCCGTCGTCCGTGTCGGAGAGACTGTATTGGCGAGGCTGGTACACTCCCAGCTCCGGCAGGAAGACTCTTACGGAGATGTACTGGCCCGGCTTGAAAGCCGGTAGCGGGCCTCCATCTACGGGTTCCAGGTAGAACGAGACGATTTCATCGCTCTCGGGGACTTTGCGGGCAACTCTGAACTTGCGCCATCCTGTCCAGCCGCCGGGACTGTGCTCGGCCTTTTCGTATAAGTCGCGCTCGACGTCGATAAAGATGTCTGCAAGTTGTTGGTACGCCGCGGCCCAGGCGTCCAAAATAGGTTGGTTGATCGCGTCGCCCAACACCTCCTTAATGGAGGCGAGCAGGTTTTCGCCCACAATGGGGTACTGCTCGGGCGTGACCCCGAGACTGACGTGTTTGTGAGCGATCCGAGACACTGCGCTCGTCAAAGCGCCCAAGTTGTCAATGTTGGCGGCATATGCCCACACCGCACTGGCAAGAGCTGCTGGTTGCGTGCCCGTGCTTTGGTGTGCGGAGTTGAATATGTTGCGGAGCTCGGGGTGGTTGCCCAGCATGCGTTTGTAGAAGTGCGAAGTGATGGCTGTGCCGTGCTCGGCCAAGACGGGCGCAGTAGACTTGACGATCTTCTGGTGCTCGAGGCTCAGCTCGGGCCGCTGGGCCGGAGAGCGTGATGGCTTCTCGACTGGAAAACCATTGGGCTCGTCACTTCGGACTGGTGCGGGCACTTGAGTGGAGGTAAGCATCTTGGGGTTAGTTCTCAGTTGGAGGAACAGGTCTTGCCGGTAAGGGAGATGAATGGTAGCGATGATTCTTCTGCAAGTAGTCAGAGTCAGAACGCACACAGACCTTATATACCATTGTCGACGCTTGTTCTCGTCCAGCAGCTTCTCCGGGGCAGGAAATCAACCGAGGACGTAAACGCGACAGGCGATGTGTCAGGCCACGTCCCACATAGTAATCTGCCGCAAAGGAGGCTGCAACGGGAGCACGGCAGTAAGATCAACAGAACTCCGCGGGCACGATGAAGCCATGATCGGTGAGCAGATTGACTCGGTACTGAGCGTACTTTTGCAAGCTCCCATCATTTCATTGTGCACAGCTTCTTATAACGATGGAAATAGCGAGAAGGCAATATAGCCACCGCGTCTTGAGTCCTGACATGAGATGTTTGCGTTGCCCTGTAGATCAGTTGGTTGCTGGATGGAGGATTGGGTTTTCAAAGTGAACGAGGGGGAAAACTAACATGGCCGCGGAGATGCTGCCCCGAATGCTTTTATATCGCCATTTCCAAGACTAATATTTTCTCCTTCGTCAGGCCACTAGTCACCTCCTTGATGGCCTGACCCATTGAGGGGCAAAAGTAACGGGTCTTTTGTCATTGCCATGGTGGTAATACGGACGAGTAAAAATTCATATTATTTGCTCTATATTTGCCATGTTTTTGATCTCCTCCTGGCTCCCCCGGTCCGTACCGAGTTCTTCGCCTACCACACAGTGGCAGGACTACTCCATACTGCTGGATATCGTAGCCTGTTGGAGTAAACAATATAACCTCTCTTCTTCTAGTTCCTGTTGCCAACCCAACTCCGAGGCCCCCGCCCCCCGGCCAGGTCCTGTCTCGAGTTGGCATGACGTGTTGCCTCATTCGCTCCGCTTCGAAGAGGGGCGATTGCAGGTCAGTCCGCCTTTTCTTCTGCCCTTTATGGGCCGGAGACAGCCTCTGACATCTAGGTACATCCGGTCGAATGCTTCGGCATAATTCAGCTCGATGATCGAAGTCCACTGACTGCGCCGACATGTTTCAACTCCCCATGCAGTTTCGCAAAAGAAGACGGTCGAGTCGAATCCAAACATGCTCGCCTCGCTGCTGTTTCGTGCCTTCCACTCAGTCGCAATCTGGCACAGCAGACCAAAGTCCCAATGAAGGCGTGCGCATAATCTCTGTAGCTGAGTCCTATCGTCGTCGAATTTGACCAATGCTAGAAGTGATAGTCAGCCACCAAAACGGGTACAACTAGATCGCTACGCTAGTTTGCCGGTCAAGCATGGAAGATTTTCTTGCGCCGCACCGTGAAGTAGCCCGGGAATACAACAGTCATGCTCGGTACTCCTAGAGCATGTAAGATTTCGCTGACGTAGTCTCTCAACGGTCGCAGAGATGCTGTTGACAATGACTTCATTCACAACATTGGTTGGAGCCATTGTTGGGACATTCTCTAACGAACTGGTCATGACATCCGGAGGCGACGTTCTCGTTTGGACACGATCGGCAAAGCGAAACTCGATCGGTTTTATATCATATGTAATCGACGTGCAGCGAAGCGAATGCACAATGTGTTCTCCATGCGGACAACTGTTGAGGTTCTAGGCCTTTGCATCCGCCAAGCGAGTGCGGTCTAGAACAGCAGACCTGAAACTCGTGACCCAAGATCATCCTTTTGCATCCCAATGAAACCAATGAGCAGTCTGGGGTGACGTCTAGTACCTCGGGTTGGAGGGACGTGAACGTCTGTGCTCCAGATATAGGGCGCATCTTATTCGGAGGACGGACGGAAGACGGAGTATATATTTCTGTGATGGCGACGGCCCGTCATCATACGTAGCACATGGTAATTGGCAGAACCAATGTCGCCAACCATTGAGTCTTCAGCCGGAACGAGCATGAGGCAGACTGAGCAGAATGGACTTCGGGCTGTGAAGGAGCCTGAGCCAAAGGACGAATTTAGCCCGCCGTCGAGATGTTGACACCAAGAAACCGAAGGGTGCATGTCTTGGCAGGTTTGCAGTGATTGTCGCTAAATTTCTCCGCATTTCGAGAAAAAAAAATTGTCAACTTGCCCTCGACTTTGCGCCGCCAACCTCCCCGCAATGGTCAAGTCATATCTGTGAGTGGGAAGATGGTTCTATATTGAACCAGAATAGTACTGATATTCGCAGGAAATTCGAGCACAGCAAGACCTTTGGCCAGATCTGTACAGCCTCCGCTAACGTCGTCTGGGATCCCAGTTCTGAGAATGAAGACTCCACGAGCAGAGGTGGCGCCGGTCGTGCCTATGTCGGCGCCAACGAGGAAGTCGTGTTGTGGGATCTGAAGAAGTCAGAAAAAGTGGGAATATGGAACACTGCGGACAACAATGCCATTGTTACCGTCATATGCCGAAGCCAAGTCGACCCCGACGTATTTGCCGTGGGCTACGACGATGGCAAGATCCGAATATGGGACTCAAGAACAGCGACGGTAATAATCACTTTCAATGGGCATAGGACAGCAATAACACAACTCACATTTGACCATTCCGGAGTCCGTCTCGCTAGCGGTTCAAAGGACACTAATGTTATCGTTTGGGATCTGGTTGCTGAGGTGGGATTGTATCGTCTCCGCGGCCATAAGGATCAAATTACTTCGCTCAATTTCCTCACTGCGGGCGATTCCCCAGATACGCTCAATAGCGGCCCTAGTTCCCATGACTTCCTCCTGTCTACCAGTAAGGATGCTCTGATCAAAGTGTGGGATTTGTCTACACAGTACTGCATCGAGACGCATGTGACACAAACGAATGGAGAATGTTGGGCTCTGGGGCTTGCGAGAGATGGCAGTGGCTGTATTACCGCCGGAAATGACGGGGAACTAAAAGTGTGGTCAATAAGCGAAATCGTGTTGAGAGAGAAATTTCGCGCGAACGTACCTGAAGGACAATATATCCTGCAAGAGCGAGGAACACTGTACCGGCAAGGCCGCGATCGGCCATTGGGGATCACATTTCATCCACAACGCGACTTAATTGCTGTGCACGGCTCCGACAAAGCTGTCGAGATACTGCGGATTCGATCAGAGACGGAGCTAAGAAAGTCTCTGGCCCGGAAGCGGAAAAGGAGAAAAGAGAAAGAAGGAACAACGGATGCCGATTCAGGGGTCGACGTCGCCGATGGAGTTGAAGACTCGACAAATATCTCCAACGCAGCGGCCGCGGACATATTTGTGCCTTACGTGCTTGTACGTACGGGCGGGAAGGTTAGATCAATGGACTGGGCTGGGGGAAAGTCTGGCAAGTCCATTCGGATCCTGGTGGCTACTTCAAACAATCAACTTGAGCTCTTCGAAGTGGCGGCTTCAGATAAGAAGAAGTCATCTGATGCCCCAGAGTACAACCGTGCACTTACGGTGGACATGCCTGGCCATCGTACAGACATCCGATGTGTTGCACTCAGCTCGGATGACCGAATGCTCGCCACTGTCTCCCATGGCAGCTTGAAAATATGGAACACGCGAACACAGACTTGCTTGCGGACCCTTGACTGTGGTCATGCTCTTTGCGTGGCATTCCTTCCAGGTGACAAAATCGTCGTCGTGGGTACACGAGAAGGCACGCTCGAAGTATTTGACATCGCAGCATCCACACTACTCGATACCATCAATGCGCACGAGCGAGACATCTGGTCACTACAAGTCAGCCCGGACGGCAAATCCCTAGTCACAGGATCGGCCGACAAGAATGCCAAATTCTGGCAATTTAAAGTCATCCAGGAGCAAGTACTGGGTACAACGCGGAAAAGCGCGAGACTCACCCTTGTCCATACCCGCACCCTCAAAGTTACCGATGACATTCTCAGCATCTGTTTCTCTCCCGACGAAAAGCTCCTCGCCGTCAGCACTCTCGACAACACTGTGAAGGTCTTCTTCACCGACACACTCAAACTCTTCCTCACGCTATACGGCCACAAACTCCCAGTTCTATCAATGGACATCAGCTACGACAGCAAACTTATTGTCACCTCAAGTGCCGACAAGAACGTCCGTGTCTGGGGCCTCGACTTTGGTGACTGCCACAAAGCATTTTTTGCCCACCAAGACAGTATTCTCACCGTTAAATTCGTCCCCAATAACGATGAAGGGAATGGACACCACTTCTTCTCCGCGAGCAAGGATACAGTGATCAAATATTATGACGCAGACAAGTTTGAGCAGATCCAAAAGCTGGAAGGCCACCATGGAGAGATTTGGGCCATGGCCGTTGCGCATTCCGGGGAGTTTATTGTGACGGCGAGTCATGACAAGAGCATCCGCATATGGCAACAGACCGATGAGCAGATCTTCTTGGAAGAAGAAAGAGAAAAGGAACTAGAGGACATGTATGAAAACACACTTCTAACGTCTCTGGAGAATGATGCGAATGAATTTGATGGGGAGGGGAATGCAGATGGTGTCGAAACAGGTCCGGCCGGCAAGCAAACCGCGCAGACATTGATGGCTGGAGAGAGAATAGCGGAAGCACTGGAAGTGGGCATGGAAGATCTCAAAACGATGCGAATCTACGCCGAAGCAAAAAGAACGAAACCCAAAGCTGCCGCTCCTCAGCGGAACCCGATCTTCCTTGCCAACAACAACATGTCCGCATCGACCTACGTACTCAGCACCGTTCAAAGGATCCCGTCCGCGTCTCTCCAGGACGCGCTGCTCGTACTCTCATTCTCTCAGGTTCCCGCGCTCTTCACATTCCTCGCCCTTTGGGCCGAAGAAGGCCGCTCCATCCCCTTGACATGTCGGATCTTGTTATTCATGCTGAAGACCCATCAAAAACAGATTGTGAGTTCGAGAGCGATGAAAGGGATGTTGGAGGAGGTGAGAAGCAAGCTGCGAAGCACGCTGATGAGGCAGAAAGGGGAACTGGGGTTCAATCTTGCGGGATTGAGGGTGTTGGGGCGCAGGGTGAGAGAGGTCGCAGGGGAAACTGAGTATGTTGAT